GCAGCAGCAGTAGTATCTATGGGATCCTTGTACCCGGCCGCCTCCTTTACGAACGCCGGTATTTTTTGCATGTCCTCCACTGTAATGACAGGGAGTTTGGTAACGCCCTCTTGATACTGTCGCAACTGCCGCACAACATTGTGAAACGCACGAATACTGGGGGCGAGATCAATCTTACCGGAAGGTGCGTGCGGGTCGACCAACATGCCAATATAATAATGGCAGCTAAACACGGTTTTTGTCGAAACACTGCCGCCGCTGGCACGTGTCGCCTTCTGCAGGAGGCGAGCTCGCGTCTCCACTTCCTCTGGTGCCTCGTACCGCCGTGGGTTCAGCTGCAGTCGCACGTGGCGGCACGCCTCAAGTGCCTGTGNACGCGACTCGGCGGTGCCTGCCCACAGAAACCGAATCTTAGACTCCACGGCATCAATGTATCCCTGGTAGGCCTCCGCATCAGTGCAGGACACCTGCACATGCAGGTAGTACTTGTACTCACCAAAGAACTTGACGGGCTCCAGCAGCTTGCTCCAGACGCCATACGTGCCAAAATTCGCCTTGGCCTCCTCGACGGAGGTGCCGAGGCTCACACTGCAGATCTCGTGGCCGCGCGCGAACTCCGCGCAAAGCTGCCGCAAGTTTGTCAGCGTCACGTTGAAGCACGCATTACCGTATGGCACAGCCGGCGTGAGCACTGGAAAGAGTGCCATGGCGTCCGACTTGGACTCGCGCGGGTCCCAGCAGCGGCCAAGGTTCGTCTTGACACGCATCGTCTCAGTCAGGTAGATGGCGCGATTCTCCTTGCCGGTCTCGTGTGGGTTGGGCGAGAACCACGCGTGGTAGATGCGGAAGAAGCGCACCACCATGCCGGCGGCGTTTTGGTTCGGGTGGCACTGACACACAAAAGCAACAAGGATAGCCCAACCAATACCGCTGGGGAAGCCAAATGTATTGCTGTATATGCTACGTGCCTTGCCCCACGCCTTGATGAAGCGCAATGCCTGGCGGAATGACGCCTTGTGTGGAACGAGGTCCATGATGTTGTGCGCCACACGCACGGCATTACAACTCAGCACTGACTGGTCGTCGAGCCCCTGGAGTAGGTCGTCGGTGATCACCTCCGGCACGCGATCCTGCCGAATGGAGCCAAAGGACAAGTCAATGTCGATGCCGTCCGCCACCATTGCGATGAGTGGAACACGGGCGTCTCGGATGCAGTGCAGTTCTGTAATGCGCGGCTCGTGTTGCAGGCGGGGGGCCAGTGTGTTGAAGAAGTGCTCGCGTGTGATGCGGTTGGGGGCGATGAGAACAATGTCAATATCGCTTCCGGACGCATGCACGTTGTAGCGGTAAGATCCAGTAGCGAAGATGCGGCCCTCCACCTGCGCCGCCGCCTCCGCGGGCATGCGGAATTCCGTGATCATCGTTGAACGTATCCACGCACGCACAATGTTGTTGATGTGCTCCAGCACTGAGCGGCGGCGGTTCGCCTCTTCCTCCGGCTCGATACCGGCAGCGCAGCATTCGACGAGCGGCGCGTTGTGCTCCTCCTCCCGCGGAGATGGGCCGTCAGCGGAGATGACTTTCTTCGCGAGGAATGACTTGTCGGCACGTGACATTGGCGAGTGTCCCAATATTCACTCCCTCTTGCTTTCCAAGTCTGTCTGTGCCTGCCTGTGTGTGTGTGTGTGTGTTCCTCCCACGCTTATAGCTCTGCCGCAGTATGTGGAAGGGGGAGGGGAATCAGAAAGAGGCAGGTGTGGAAAGAACAGCAAGGTGACAGCAGCCAGCGCAACAGAGAGAGACAGGCTTAGCATTGGGCGCAAGTGGGAGGATAGAGAGAACAGAAGTTGAAAAAAAAGCAGAGTGGGTAACACGCACACTTCGCTCACACACCCATCTCACAACATCTCTTCTTGCCCCTCTCTCCATAAAAACGAAAAAAAAAACACCGAGACGCATATGCGCAGGTGGGTGTGGAGGAGAGAGAGGGTATCACTCATGGCAGAAAGCAACATTACGCTCCACACCCGTTTCTGAAGCACCTCCATCATCTCCTCTCGGCTCGCACGTGTTGCTCTATCATTCGCGTTCCCTTGCGTTTCACCCGTTCAGAACGACACGAGGATCTGCTGTCTTCCACGGAGTTGTTATCTGCCCCCCTTCCACTACTTATCGCATAGCAGCACGTCGAGAGGAGAGGGCTGCATCGTTATTTGTAACAACTCCTGCGCCACGTTGAGGTTCATGCTGGTCTCCCTCTCGTCTCTCCGCACACGGCCGGTGGGCGTTGTCGTGGCAATCACCGACGACGTGGTTGTCGCCAGCGCAAGGCGGTCCAGCAAGCATTGCACCAGCTTCTGGAAGAGCATTTCGCCCTTGTCCCACGCACACTGCAGGGAGCCACGCCCACGTACAGTGATGTCCCGCGCGTGCACCTCCGACACCTCCAGCGGTGCCCCCTTCTCCCCAATTTCTTGCGCGGCTGCCGCTGCTGGTGGTCGCACAATACCGCATACCACGGTAGGCTGAGGACCGAGTGTGGGCTCAACTTCCATCATCACATCCGCCGCCTGCACGAGTGTGACCTTCCGCCGTGCGTCGTAGCAGATTCCGATCGCGTGACAGTTAGAGCAGAGAAGCCGCCGCAGCTCTTCAAAGCGCGGCTCGCCGGAGATGTCAAAGATCTGAAGCCGCACATCGGTCGTCAGGCTCCCCACGATGTGCACCGTCTTCTCGTAGAGTGTGAAACCCATGGTTGGCAGCAGCGGTCTGCCCGCCAATCGCCGGTTCTCATGCTGATCAACAAACTGCTGCACAAGCGCCGTCTTGCCGACACCAGCGGGGCCAATAATGGCAATCTTAAGCGGGCTCGAGAGTAGCATGCGAGCCCCTTCCGAAAAGGATGAGACACCCTTGCATCGCGCCAGCTCCCGCCGCCGAGCGAAGTCAAGGAATTGCGTGAAGTTGTACCGCGCGTGCAGAGAGATGACGCGTTTCGATGCATCCGTCGGTATGATGTCTCCAAACTCGGTAAGGAACGTCTGCGGTTTCGCTCGGTTGAGAAGGCGCCGGCGCAGTGAGAAGGACGAGCTGCTGCTCCGTGTTGTTGGTATCTTCAGCTCCACTTCTTGCCAGCAGCGCGCCATGTTGTATTGGTACCAAATCAAATTATCGCGTGACATAAAGTAGAAGTCAGAGGACACCAGCGACACCTCGAGGAGGTCATGCATGGTGAGGTACGACAGCATCCTCACCAGCAGCGGCCACTGCATCATTTTCAGCTCACCACGGCACTTGCGCCGCGCCTCGCCGTTGTGGTCACGGCGCGGTACTACAAGCTGAAGCTCGTAATGGCAGGCAGAGCAGACGCGACACGTTGTGGTCGGCGAAGACGTCACAAACTGCTGTTGCTGATGCAGGCGCGCCGAAGAGGGAGTGCTGCATGCTCCAAGAGGGGACCCATCGCCACGGTGACTCTGCACCGTCGATGGTGACCCGAACGAGTCCAGGGCGTCGCCACACGAGACTGTACACTGCGCCATGGAGTTGGTGTAACTGCTGTTTTGCAGTTGACGTTGGTTTTGACTGTAGTAGCTGTCATTATTGTTGTGGTAGTTGAGCGCTGTGATGATGTGAGAACAGCAGGCAGCACAGAAGATGCGCCCGCATACGCGACAATGATGCCTGCGGTTAAAGAGCGAGAAGGACACATTGCAGTCGTGTGCCATACACGTCATCACCTGTGCGTCGGGCACCCAACAAGTCTCTGGGCAGAAGCGGATGCAAGATGGGTCCAGTGTGGGCTTTGCAAGCATCCACCTACTCGATGCGGTGGTGCCGCCGCCATTCAATGCTGCGGATGACGCTACTGCCGTTCCTGCTGACGTTGCGGTACGAGGCGTGAATGAGGAAGACACAGCGGGTACACCGGCAGCACCGCTGTTGCTGGTCTTATTTGTGGCACTGTTGCTATACGGTATGAAGACGTGGAGTGTTGTAAGGGACGCCGCAGCGCCCATCTCTCGCGTACCAGCGACATCAACGTGATCCATTTGTTCCGCACAGACAACCCCATAAACCCACACGCAGGGCTTTCCACTTAAATTCGCCTCCCGCTAGGTGTCAGTTTATGTATATATGTANCGCACAGACAACCCCATAAACCCACACGCAGGGCTTTCCACTTAAATTCGCCTCCCGCTAGGTGTCAGTTTATGTATATATGTATATATATATGTCTGTGATGGCCCAGTGAAAAGCCTACGAATGAGAGCAACAAAGGCGTGCACCAGCAAGAGCAGAAGTAGGACTGACAACGATAGCAACAGCAGCAGTATCGGCATCGNCGCACAGACAACCCCATAAACCCACACGCAGGGCTTTCCACTTAAATTCGCCTCCCGCTAGGTGTCAGTTTATGTATATATGTATATATGTATATATATATGTCTGTGATGGCCCAGTGAAAAGCCTACGAATGAGAGCAACAAAGGCGTGCACCAGCAAGAGCAGAAGTAGGACTGACAACGATAGCAACAGCAGCAGTATCGGCATCGGCAAAAACAAAGATGATGCTGCCCTGTTTCAATCCCTTCTTTAAGGAAAACCAATGCAAAGAGAAATACTATTACAGCTCCCACCACATCATACCACACACACCAAGGAAGCGGAGCCGCCGCACCGCCTCACCTGTGCTGTCAGAGAGCACCACATTCCCAGTCGCGAAAAAGAGCCAGTCGCGGAACTCCAACCGCACGGGCGGCACGGGCCCGCCAGCATCTGGGCCCGCTGCCGCGTACGCCTTGGAGGCGGACATTAGCGCCTGCAGGTCGTCGCCTAGCAGGTGCATCGGCGGGTGCTCGCGCTGCGCCTCCAACTCCGTAGCCCGCTGCATTGCGTCAATGGGGCGCAACGCCTCACCGTTGCCGTCACCATCCGCGTACGTTCGCTCGCGCGCAAACAGAAGCCGCCTGCGAGCCAACCGTGCTTCATCACTCTCCGTCTCTGCACCGTCCTCGTTACGGCTGCGGCATCCGGGCCGTGACGACCAGAAAAGCCCACTCCGCGCCTTTATCTCTTCTGTTGTCCCCTTCTGGTCTCTTGCACGACTCACGAGTGGGGGGAAGAGTTGGTTGAAGGTTGTCTCGTGGTGGCGCCGCTCTGCCAAGTAGCGAAGGAAGTGGCCTTCGTGTGGACGCAGAACAAAGAGGCCGTAAGTGACAAAGCCGGGAATAATGAGGCGGCGCAGCTGTCGGTACACAAGCTCACGCCGCCGAATGCGTAACGCCCTCTCAGAGTACATACCTGCACCTACTTCTGATGCTGCTGCCGCTGCAGTGTCGCAGCCACGGCGGACGCAGACCGCACGCCGCAGCATTCACACCCTCCACGTCACCGCCTCGCACACGCACACAGACAAACAGGCACGTCTACTGGTGAGATCATCAGCAGCAAAGGAATGGAGGGAGGGAGAGAAAGAGCAATTAAGAGCAACGTGCAAAATTGCGGTGGGCCAAAGAATATTTTCAAGGAAAGAACGTCAGACAGGAGGGATGTTTCTGCGCAATGCTGTGGCGGGGGAACACTACAGTGTTGTGTTTGGGGATTTATACGTTTTTTTTTTCTTCGCGTCGGTCTCTCTCACGCCTCCTATACTTTATGCTTCGTTTCCTTGCTGAGACGTGGCGATATCGAACAGCAACGTCCCCTCCAAGGCCCTTCACAGACACACAAACGCACGCACGCACTGCTGCTGCAATGAGCAGCGAGAATTATGGAGTGAGAGGGTAAAGAAGCCTTGCGACACGAGCAAGGCAGACGCGCGCACGCACCCCCTACATGCGGCCGCGGCACATGAGCGCCACAACAAGAGAGGCGCGCGAGCGTGTATTCGTTACGGCCGGCGACTCTGCAACAAAAATGCAGCAGCACAAAAAGGCATCGCAACATCAACGAATTGAGAAAGACACCAATGCAGCCACACAGGCCTTGCATAACAGAGGAGAAAGGGAAGCGTCATCATATTAAAGGCAAATCAAATTCAAAAATGCTTTTGCGGATGTGCCCGTGCGCAGAGTGCATCAATACCGACGAGCCACTCGCCGGTCACCGTATGCCGCACACGCACTTAAACAGGCAGATTCACACAAATACGAGACAGGAAAAAATGAACAATCACTCTGGTAAACTTCTTCAGTCACACACAGACATATATATATATATATACAGAGAAACAGAAATAGCAGCCTGTTTCGTGGCTCTGTGCATCTGTCCCGAGCACCGTGTCACTTCTTCAGTGTGAAGCCGTCACAGAACGGATCCCGCGGATCACACAGGAGTGTGTTGAAACCCGTGATATACGCCGAGCCGCTGATCTCCGGCGTAGCGACGAGCATCCCCTCTTCCCCTGTCTCTGTTGCCGGCACTCGCAAACCCGGTACGCGCTGTTCTTCCAACAGCCGGCCGTGAAAGAGGGTACCAAGGATGCTCTCGTAAACGAACGGCTCGCCAATGCGTAGCTCACCCTTGGCGTGGAGTGCCGCCATTTTTGCGCTCGTGCCAGTGCCGCACGGCGAGCGGTCAACCTGGTGGTTGCCGAATATCACGACGTTCTTACACGTCGCCTCTGGGTGAGTCGCAGGGCCGTAGAACTCCACACAGTCGACGCTGTTGATGTGCGCCAGCTCTGGGTGCTGCACCCTCACGCTGCGATTCACCTCCGCACGCAGGAGTTCACCGGCCTCCTGCAGCTGCGCAAGGTGGTCGGTGCAGACGTTTAGACCGAGCTGCGCAGCCGCCGCAATGGCGAAGAAGCTACCGCCGAACGCGATGTCGAGGCGCACCTCGCCGTACGGCGGCGGCAGCACGACCGTTACATCCCGCTGGTATAGGAACGCGGGCACGTTTGTGATGCTCACGCGAGCCACTTCACTCGCGCTTCCGGGCTCGAGGTGGGCGACGGTGCGCACCAGTCCTGCCGGTGTGTCGAGCACGAGCGGCACCTGTGTCGCGCCCGCTGGAACGTCGACGAGGCCCGTCTCCACTGCCGTCGTTGCCGCCGCGATGGAGTTGTGACCGCACATGTTCAGGTAGCCGCCGCTGTCCATAAAGATGATGCCCATGTCGGCGCCCTCCGCCACGGGTTCCAGCAGGAAGGCGCCGAACATGTCGTCGTGCCCGCGTGGTTCCAGCATCACGCGGCGCCGCAGCATGTCCATGTGATCCTGCAGGTACGCCTTCTTCGCCGCCATCGTGGCGCCCGGCAGCCGCGGCAGTCCGCTCGTGACAATCCGCGCCGCCTCACCTGCTGTGTGCATGTCGATGCACGTCAGGGAATTCTTGAACCGCATAGTTGTGATAGCCGGATATACAGGCACTTGTATATATTTACACGAGTATATGGGTGCTTTCTGCTTGTCTGTGTGTGTGTGTGTGTGTGTGTGTGTGTCGGTGTGTGACCGATATGACGCGTCCTGTGCAACAGACAAAGAAACAGAAAAGAACAATGCGGGTGCAGGCGGTGGAAACTGAAGTGTGCACGTTACCGATGTCGTTCAAAGCGACACCCACGCTCACTCACACAGAGAGATGTGATAAAAATGAAAGATGAGAGGGAAAAGCGATCTTACAAATAACGAGTGTATTTGTGTGTGCGTGTATGTGTATGTATGTGTGTGTGTATGTGTACACGTCCGTGCATGCCTCATGGCATACCCGCAATCACAGGAACAGTAAAACAGCACAGGCCAGTAGGAGCAGTGTGCCGCAGCGGCCCCCTCCCAGCAGCTCTCTTCATCTCTCACCTTCACCCGCAGTCTATAGCAGTTAAGAAACACAAAACAGAAAGAAGATGCCTCGCACGAGCAACCCCGGCAATGTCCCCTCGCAGTGTTATTTCTCTATTGGGCCCAAACACACACACCACACGTCCTCCCCCNCCCCCCCCCCTCACATCATTCACTGACACCGTCACCACTCCCACAAGCAGCGGCTGCAATCACTCCCGGGCAAAGGAGAAAAAAACATCATCCCTCCCCCCTTTCACTCCTCCCTCCACACCACATGGAGTTCACGCTCATACGAGAGCCAGACAACCCTCATAATAGGGCCCCAAACGCCGGAACCCCACGCCTTTTTTTTAAATTTTCTTCGTCTCTTTTTTTTTTTTTCATTCATCCTTCTTGCCCACGTTAAATTAGTCCAACAATTCAAACTCGTCATCGTCATCAAGGCCAGTTGAGCCCTTCGAACCCTGACCGCTGCTTTTGCCTGCCGCCGCGCCAGACCGGACAGCGCACTTCTGCACGTGTATGCATGTCCGCTTCCCCGCGTGTTTCCCCTGCGTCACCTCGCGCAGCACGAAGGAGACAGTGTCCCCCGGCTTGACGTCACCCTCCACGTTGCTCATGTGGAAGAAGATCGAGTCGCCTGAGCTGTCCAGCACCACAAAGCCAAAGCGGCCCTCGACAATATCCCGCACTGTGCCGCAGCCGCGTTCACCGCTTCTGATTTCGGCACCGCTGCTGGTGCCGTCGCTGGTGATGCGCTGCGCTGCGCGCTTACGTTCCGCATCCCGGTCGATAATAACACGGCGTGCCGCCGTGCGGTCACGGCCCTCGAGGCAGAAGCGCACGTATAGCCCGCTCCGCAGCTCCGCGCGGCCGCCGAGGTCCAAATCCTCGAGGTTCACAGTGAAGCGCGGGGCATCGTCGTGCAGAGTGCCGCTGAGGTCCAATTCAGCAATGACACCAGTGCCGGCGAGCGAGTCCCAGTTCTCCACGCAGCCGTACAGCGTGATGGGCGTGACAGGCTTCTCCTTATTTGTTGCTGTGTCGTAGAGGCGGATTCGGTGGGCAACAGAGAGCATCTTTTGCAAACCATCCTCAGCGGAGTCCACCGATGTCGCCTCTGCTCCCTTCACCTCGCCGAGGCGCGCCGCGAGCTTCTTGTTTGGCTGCACGAGCCGCACGTCAAATGCAACCGATTGCCCCTCCATCAGAAAGAAGCCGCCGTCAAGCGAAGAACGAGGAAAAAAGAAGCTGTGTGTGGCGTCACTCCCCGACGCCACCGCTGCTGCTGCTGCTTCTGCTTCTGTGGTGCTGGAGGCGGCCTTGGTGGCCCTGCTTGTGGCGGTCATTTCCAACTCTCGGAGAAAACCGTAGCCGCGGCGGTGCTTGAAAGTCGTGACGGTGCCGATGCGTCGCGTGGAGGGCTGTGTCGTTGTTGTCTCTGCCGACGCCTGGCTCACTTTGCTCTTCTGCAACAGCGGCGACGACACGACGATGGCGAGCCGCCATCCCGCAAGACGAAACATCAATAAACACCACTGGAGAATAGAAACTATGAAGCGGCCACAAAACAGCCGCCGTTTACCGTCCTCTTCGTTAGCGTGCGAACGCGTATACCCCTGCCTCTGTGATGCCGGGCACTTGCCCAAGCCAACAAAACGAAACCTCACATTGTGGGGGGAGAGAAAGAGATAGAAAGACAAGACACATTCGCAAGCGCCTATTTGTCACCCAAACAGAGAAATGGGCAAGACCTCCTTCAAAGGAGAAAGAAAAAAAAAATAGAAACCGACAACAATGTCATCTTGATTCTTTCACGCTAATCGGACACTGCGAGCGTACCCTGCCCAGGACTACACCACCCACAGTAGAAACCGTTCCATCTCCGGTTCGAATGGAAGCAAGAGGAGTAGCGTCTTCGTTCAACGTTGCAAATGAAGCACAAGGATGAAAAAGTAGTATGGAGTGGGAATGAGGGTAAACATAAATATGGGTGTAGCAACGCACCAAACTTCTACTTGTCTAACACACAAAGCGCGCATCGATCCACGATGCGGTGTTATAGTTACCGGAAGAAACAAAAGCAGCAGCAGCAGCAGAGGTGGCGCATCCCTCATCATCTGCCTTCTCCGATCGCTGACCTGCGTCTTTCGCCTCCGTGACAAGGTCGGCACGCATCTGCAGCAGGTGCACGTCGCCAGCGGCAGTGCCGCACGCTAACCACACGCCATCCTCTGAGAAGGAGAGACTCGTGACCGCCGCACTGCGGTGCGGTGGGGCAGCGGCCGCAGTTCCCGCCGATGAGGAGCGCGCCCACCCACTCGCCGCGCGCATCGAGCGCAGGTACACAAACACCACCGGTGAGTAAGAGCTCTGCGTCAAATCCCACGCAGCGACGCGGCCATTGTTTTCGCCGGCGACAAACACCGCTGGGTGTGTCGGCGACCACCGCAGGCAGTTCACCTGTGCCCCAAATCCGTCAATGGCGATGTGCCGCGCGCCAAGCCAGAGGCTGCAGCTGCCGTCTGTGGCGGCCGTCAGCACCATATCGCTGATACGTGGGTCGGCGTGAAGTGGATGCGGAGCCACTGCGACGACAGCACTGTGATGCGCAGCAGCTGCGGTACCGCCTCCAGCCACCGCCGTTGTGGTCCGCGAGCGGTGCAGCAGCATCGAAGGTGCCTCACTCGCGCCAGCTACTCCTGTTGATGTTAACCTCGGACTCGGCGGTGGCGTCGACAGCGACGATGTCGATGTGGTGATGGGCCGCATCTCGACCGTACGGGAGCTTTTCGTGCGCCCCTCCAGCACGTGACCGTCGAGGCAGCCAAATACAACTTTGCTCATCGCATCTGCCGCCTTATCGACAAACGCCGCACACGAACCGACGCAGCCAAGCGGCTGCCCTGAAGTAACCCCGTCACGGCTCGACGAGGGTAGCCGAAGCTGCAGCGGCGCCCACATGCACACGCGGCCGTCCTGGCTGACGGAGTACAGGTGGTGGTAGTTTGCGTCGCCATGCACCGCCATGCCGAGCACCCGCGAGTGGTGCGCGTGCGGCGACGGAAAGGACTGATCGCTCGGCGCCACTGACGCCGCCGCCGCAGCAGCAGCAGCACTGCACACCGTGGGTGCCATCAACGACGGCAGTGAAAAAGACACTGGTTGCTGCACGACACGTCGCACGCTTGTGCCGCGACGCTCCTGTAGCGCGTGGTCAATGCGCCACGCGACAACACAGCCGTTGGCGGCGCCGCCGAACAGCAAATGCGGACTGTAGCGCGTGTACGTTAAAACACGTATCTCGCTGTCAAAGTACAACGGCACAACACTATAGCAGCTGTCGTCTGCACGCCCCCGTCCAACGCAGCACAGTAGTACGAGCCCCTGCGCTCGAGACGGCAGCAGCGTCTCGCCAACACGCACCGCCGAAGACCGAGTCGCGCCATCAGTGTTCTCCTCCGCGTGGCCATCCTCCGATAAAGCAGCCGCCACAAGCAGGCAGTCGTCCGCGTCGTGGACGCCGCTATCCAACGCATGGGAGCCAAGCATCGTTACATCCAGCACGCTACGGCCCTTCCAGTTGAAGAGTGTCTCCGCACGCAGTGAGTGGGCCAGCAGCATCGCGGTGTCGGGCGGAGACACAGCACGGCGCCGCCCCTCCGATTCCTCCTCCAACGCCTTTTCCGTCACATATGTCGTCGTTGCGCCAAGTGACGGAGCACCAACAACTGCAGCATCATATTCTGTGGGCTCCAACGCAATAGCCCCTACGCCTGCTTCTACATTCCACGTGCCACTTCCCTTTCTTCCGCCTCCTGTTACTCCTTGGGTCTTTCTCACATTGTCACCCGCACCACTCTTGCCCACTGACGAATGCTCGGGAGACTGCCGCGGGAACCTTGCTGGAACCGGTGATAACCGTGTCGTCGGAATTCTTACTTCGCATGCCCGCCGCTCCTCCCGTACATTAACCGAAGAAGCGGTGGAGCTGGAGCTCCTCAATGCATCTGTGCCTACAGGCAAAGACAACGTCGGCGACAGGGGTTTCGGGTTATTGCTACTGCTTGCAGAGGGAAATAATGTACCAGCTGTGCCCTGTTGAAACTGCTGTTGCACCGAGCGCTGCTTTGCCTCACGCGCGGCACGAATCTCCTCCAGCTGGCGACGTTTCTCGGCCAAGTCCATCTACACTGTGGTCCTGACTAAACCTCCTTGCACCAACCAAAAACAGAAGTAACACATACGCACACCAACGAAACCAAGAAACCAATAAGCACACCAACGCAATAAACCAACGCTCCCCAAATACAAAAGCACCGCCACACCACCAACAGATTTTTTTTAAAAACGGTACGATCTACAAGAAATGATCAACAAAAAAAAAACAATATACGTTGGCCGACGTCAACAAAAAAATCTATATATATATATTTATATCAATATTCATGCAGAAAGTCAAAAGCCCACCACAAAAGGCTTAACAGAACTAAAATCTCTAAGGAGGTACAAAAACCAAAAACATTCTACACACAAAAGGCCTAATACCTCAAAAAAAAAAACACCACGTCTATTCTTACTTATTTTCCTTGTCAAAACAAGATTTCCTAGACAACAACTTTTCCGTAAACGTGAAACCCTTCTTTATCGGACCCGCATTTCCGTCCTTCGACTTCAAAAGGCCATGCCTCACACCAAGACGCACCTCGCCTTTACGTTGAATGTCCTGGAGAAGTGCGTAGGCTTCCTTAAGCTTCACCTTGTCTTTCTCCAAGCGAACAACACGTTCACCAAGCGAGCACACCTTTGACTCCACATCGATACGTTTCTCACGTTCAGACAACAAACTCACAGTTTTTTCTTTCAGTTCCGCCTTGGCGTCCTCCGTGCTGCGCAGNTCCTCAGCCAGGTCGTCGCGCTCAGCCGTCACAGACTCGAGGTTCTTCTCCACCTCAGCCTTGGCGTCCTCCGTGCTGCGCAGGTTCTCAGCCAGGTCGTCGCGCTCAGCCGTCACAGACTCGAGGTTCTTCTCCACCTCAGCCTTGGCGTCCTCCGTGCTGCGCAGGTTCTCAGCCAGGTCGTCGCGCTCAGCCGTCACAGACTCGAGGTTCTTCTCCACCTCCGCCTTGGCGTCCTCCGTGCTGCGCAGCTCTTCAGCGAGTTTGATGTTTTCGTTGGCTTTGTGTTGAAGTTGCTCGTCTCTGTGGTGCAGAGCCTCTTGAAAGCTTTCAAGCTGTTTTGTTGCAGTTTCTCTTTCATGGCGCGATATTTCCAATTCGTTGGAAAGCTGGTCTCGTGCTTTTTCTACATCAAGTACATTGTTACGGAGGTTATCATTTTCTCTGTTGATCTCTTCGGCTTCTTGTGCAAGTGCCTTGTTGTTTTCATTAGTAGCGTTTAACTCTCCCTTAAGGCGTTGAATGTCATCCCATGCCTTGTCGAGGCCCTTTTTTTCTCCGTTGCGGTCGCTGTACAACTGGTGCATGTTATCGAACGCGTATATTTTGATGTTGTTGTCAATATCTTCCTTGCTGATGTGGTCGGCGTGGGTCACATCAAACTCGCACAGCAGACTTCCGAGGGCGAATTGAACATTTGTGACAGCATCGTTGGGCACCTTGCAGGCAGCACTCACGTCCTTTGTAAATGTGTCACGGAGCTCCACTGGGCGGCCATTGAACAATATATCCCACTCATCCCCCTCAAACTTTTTAGAGTGGTGCGTCTTGACGAGTGGTGCGTTCAGTTTACGCTGAAGATCATCGATCAGAGCACTGCTCTCCTCGTACAGCCCGTGCAATTCAGCCTTCTCATTGTTTAGGGACTCGATCTTAGTAACGAGGCCATCTCGATCAGTTGCGGTATCCGACAGCTGTGCACGCAACACACTCACCTGTGATTGCATCTCTTCCAGTTGGACCTTCAGCGCCTCATTGGAGTCCTGCAGCGCGTGGTTGTCCGTCTCCAATGCAGTCAGCTTATCAGTAAGTTCTGCACACAACGACGACATCTCTCTCTCCACCCTCTGCAGCGCATCTTTCGCGGCGGCAACCTCTTGTTGTTGCCGCGAAGCAGTTTCCTCCTGGAGCACCGCATTCTCCTTTAAAACCCTGAGCTGCTCCGCCTGCTGATGCACCGCGCCGTTCATGCTGCCTTGCACAACAAGAGAAAGCATAGACTGAAGATGCAACACTGAAGTGTTATAGCGCGTCTCCATCTCCTTCAACTGTAAACAATAAAGCTCACAGTCGTGACGCAGACGTAACGATAATGCACGCTCCTGCTCTAACGTGGTTTGAAAAGCCTCCGTGCGGTTCTCCATCGACGCCTCACGCTTGCGCATCTGCTCCAGCATAAGACGTTCTTTTTCCTCAAGCTCACGAAGCAACCTCTCGTGATACCCAGCCTGGCGTCGCGACTCCTCCACCTGCCGCTCCAGCTCGGTCGCCTTGCCCAACAGCGCCTCCCGCTCAGCCTCCGTTGCGTGCAGCATCTTCTCACGCATCTTGTTCTTCTCACGTTCCTTCTCCAGCGCCTGCAGATCGGCAGCACGCTTCTGTGCCTCAGCCTCGAGCAGCACCAGCTTCTCCTCCAGCTCAGCCACGTACGCGGGATCCCTGCCCTGGATGTCCTGCCGCATCCGCTCCATCTGCTCCTCCAGCTCACGGATCCGCCGTGCACGCGGGTCCTCGTTCACCTTCGTTAGGTTCACAATGTCACGCGCGCGGGACGCGTAGCGCAGCGTGCTCAGCGTCTCCTCGTAGTTCATCGCACTCGGGCTGATCGTGGCAATCATGAACGTCTTCGAGTTACCGCCCAGCGAGTCCTTCAGAATGTACGTCAGCTTCGACTCACGGTACGGCGGCATCGACCACTGGCTGTTCGCGTTCTTCGCCATATCGGCCAGCATGTCGATCACACGCCCAAGCGTCGTCAGTGAGAGGTTGATGTGCCGCGCCTCGCTGAACTGCTGCCCAACAACCTCAGACTGCGTAACGCGCTCAGACCCCGCGAGGTCCACAAGGTTCATCCGGCTATTCATGCCGGCGGTCGTGATCGTCTGTCCAGTGGCCGACCGCATCGACCGCTCTTCCCGCAGCATCAGCATGAAGATCGCGTGGCTGCGGCTGCTGCGGTCGTTCATCTTCGTCGCAGCTGTGTGGCGCACACGGTTGCCCGCCTCAATCAGCTCCACAATGTCCTCCAGGCTCGACACCTCGCAGAATCGCTGGCTCTCGATGAACACGCCCCGCGTCGGGTGCTCCCGCACCTCCACGAACACCTCCTCCTTCGAGCCCTTCTTTCGCTTCGCCAGCAGGTCAGACACACGCTCGTTGTACACCTCGACGTACCCGACCTCCACCGTCCACTTCGAGTGGCCCTCCGCCTCGATGAGCGCACGCCTCTGGAACAGCTCCAGGCACAGCCGCGGCGTCACGCCAGCGTCCGCCCCGCCTAGCGCGCTCGGGTCGCCCCCCATCATCGTGTACGTCTTGCCGCTCCCGGTCTGACCGTACGCGAACAGGCACGAGTTGAACCCGCTGAACGCGTGAAGCACTAACGGCCGCCCGATCGCCTCGTACACATCAACCTGCCCAGCAGGCTTGCCGCCGCACTCGTCAGGGCAATCCGCCGACCAGAACACATTGTCGAACTGGAAGGACTTCTTTTTTTTTGAGTAACCTTCGGTCTGGGGTCTGGAAATCGTCACGGTGGCTTGATTGCTGTTAGCACGTACAGATATCAAAGAGCTATTAGAAAGCTCGCGTGCATTGGGTGGTCGAACTCGTACAGCAACTTTAACTGATGCCTCCACCGTAACGTTGCTGTGGCCATCATATTTGAGTTCGTTTTCGTCTGTTAGATTGAGCATGTATGCAATGTATTTGGCTCCCTTTTTGTTTTTTTTTTGTGTTTTTATTTCTGTGTGCACGTGTGCCTGGCTTTGTAAGCGAATGGAGCAACTTTCCTTACTTTTTCGGAGTTTAATTGTCTTTCTTTGTTCTGTGGCTGTACTTTGTGTATCCAAGGTGCCAGGCTTCCCTACGAGAACAACAAGGTGAAGAAAGAAAACGCTACTACCCACACAGAATGTGATGTACGACACAAGGATCACTCCACGCGCCAACACCACAATGTCTTCGGAAAGATATTAGGAGAGGAAAACCGCGGTACGCGAACTCGCGTATTCCCATAGGGAAACGATGAGATAGAAGAGTAACGAATTAGCACAACGTTATGTCTCGCAACTACCGGCGGTTTCAATTCATGTTCTGTTTCTTGGCATGGCAAGAAGTGGGATGGATGAGCAGAAATGAATAACGACAGCAGCAAAGAGAAGGGAGAGTGAAGGGTTGGCCACGGAAGGATATACATGCACACAGCAGCCTCGCTACGATCGCCAGGGTCGGCACACGAATTCAATTTTGTGCGCCACAATGGTACCACTCGAAACCGCATAATCGGCGAAGCAAGTCTATTACTGCGCACAGACCCCACCCCACCAGCACAAACGCAAGTCTTTACTTAAGCGCCACTGCTGCATTGACTGTTAGGTCAGGGTGAGATTTCTACACATAATGCAAAGCCATCACACAACTAAAACAAAACTACACCAGTGACTCATCATTCAACCAACGACAAAAGCCCCAATCATACCAGGGACTTCCACGACAGCACCATAGGAAGACCGAAATAGGGCATCTGTTGCATCATCCCATTACCTCCTCCATGTGCATCGGAGTCCATACCCCACATCAAGGAGACGAGGCACAATAGAAATAAATTTGTACGTACCAGGACAAAATCGCACACCCGTTCAGTTATCGCTACGCGCCACCTCGCGTATAGTTCATACCTCAACTGAAATTGCAAAAGACACTGCTCACATATGTAGCACGACCTCGTTAGGTTTCGCACAAAATAAAAACAATAACAATACGACCGTGAAGAACACAAAGTCCATGCCACAAAAACCGGTCAACGGAAAGCAAAAAACGCTAAACACACATACCACAGCAGAGAAAGCGTAGGACGCGGTATCTGGACCAAAAAAAACTCCAAAAAAGGCAATCCGCACTCCAAAAATGTCTCAGAAATGATAACCAAAACCCAACAATAAAATACACTCCCACACCGAAAGAAAAAGAAGGGAACAAGACATATGACACAATAAAGACGGCTTTAACTAACTATTTTCACTTAAATACGCGCTAAATACAGCTGAAGATACGCCACCACAAACCCCACGCAACACCCACTACACACAAACAAAAGGTACAACAAAAACAATCAAAGGTAATCACGTCAACTACCCACACCAGGCAAAAAACAATTCACTTCAACAAATCAGCTAGCATCTCCACAGCACCTTTTTCACGGTTGATTATATCATTGAAGTCCAGCAGCAGCCCACAGAACAGACACAACACTCCAAAAGAAGAATACTTTCACAAAGATAAATTCAGAAACTACTCCAAAACAACTGCACCGCATTCAAACTTCATCCTAACTATCTTCGCCTCTCCAATCCCTCGCTGCTCTTCACGCAGCGCCGCACTCTGCTTTTCAGCCGTCTCGAGGCTGACACGCAAACTTCGTTGGGCTATCGCTGACTCGTCA